CCCACTGAGCCAGGGAGACACTCCGACGAGCATCCGTCATCACCTACAGGCAACACAGACATCCCGAACCGAGCGCCCCCCCTAAGAGTGCAGTTGGCACTCCAAACGAGGAACCACCGACTGTTTAGCACTACCTAAGGGTGCTCAGTTGGGCACACACAAAAATACTTCGAAAAATTAGAGGGAGGACAAACAACAGGAAAAGGACCGACAGACAGAAAACTGATTGTGTGTGTGTGTGTGTGTGTGTGTGTGTGTGTGTGTGTGTGTGTGTGTGTGTGTGTGTGGTCCCCTTGCAGCCTACTGTATGGTACCTTGTCACGGGCCAGCAAAGGGGCGACAACACTTGCAAAGGAGATTAAAAGCTTGAGAGGAGCATGGAGAAGACAAGACGAGCTTGGAAGGCGAAAGAGTGCTGCCCCAGTGCTTCAGACTGTTCAAAGTCAATTCTCAATAACCAGCTCAATGGGATCAGCCACATCAGCAGCCTCAGCGGCATCGGAGTGTGTACCTGGATCAGCTAATTCTGAGACCGGCCAGCTAGGGATCTTGCCTATGGTCGCAACAAAGCAGTGGTCAGCAGCACAGCTCTCTCGCTATCGACCAAACTGGTTAACAAAGACATTTAAGAGGTTTTCACATGACCTGTCCAACATGCGGACTAGTCTTATGGGACATTTGTTGCCACATCCACCTCATTATGAAGATGAGGATCTCGAACAAACGCAGAAACTCCCTGCAGATGACACTGTGGAGCGAAACACATGGCGGGCAAAGATGGCATGGTTAGCTGTGAGGATTGAGAAGCTTATGATGAGGGTCCTTTGGCGACGAGTCATGATGGTGTTTGTGCTAATCACAATCTTGTTCATGGACTTGACAACAGCAGCACTACCAAAGGAAGCTGACCGCTATGCACGAATAATTCTCACCGTCTTCTTCCTTGTACTGATCTGCGAAATGGTTGTCGCATCATGTGTCATTCCAGGGTATTTCCTGAAGCTCTTCTTCTGGTGAGTTTCTTTTCTCTTTAAGGAGAAACAAAAGAAAAGAAAAAGAAAACGGAAAGATATATTAAATAGGTGGAAACCAGGTCCAGGATCTCTTGCTTCAGAACTCACTCAATTCTTCCTTCTGTTATGGCCGAAGGACCCTGAGACAGTGGCCTTGATTGTTTTCTTTATAAAGGGTATATACCCCTGCTGCACCCCTGCTTCTTTGTGTGCTGCTGTTCTTGCTTCCCTGAGGTTAGTCTGTCACTTTGACTGCTCCTCTCAACCTTTCTAAAATGTATGATTACTGCGTGCTTATCTAGACCTGTGACAGAAAGATGTGCCAGAATCTCTGAACTTTTCCTGGGCTTAAGCATCCTAGGCCATTGAGATCCTGGTGAGCGGGCGTATTCTTTTTGCGATGTCTGCTGGACTACTGTCTTGACTGAGAGGTTGTTTCCATGCTATAAAATAAACACTTCTTTTTTTTCCCAAGATTGTACGTTTGAATTAAATGTTGAAAACCAACCAGGTTCAGCATCCTTCGCATATATTACATATACCAGGCTTCCCTCCGTTCTGGTCAAGGGACCCTGATGCAATGAACCTTCCCCAAATCAACACCGAAACTCAGCATGCACAGTGGGACATTCACATGAGAGTTCATACAAGAAGCCGAAAGACAACTTAAATTGGCGCTCCACAGAGTTGCACTCAATTATTATACAAGGAAAGTGTTCTAGTACTCCAGCGGCTTGAGCCACACTCCACTACCAACACCCGACTCAGGTATGTAACAGACTTCCCTCTCCTCTGTGTGACCCCCTTCTCTCGCTCTCGCTCTCTCTCTCTCTCTCAATCGCTCCTGACTTGTAGCGCTCATCTCTCTCTCTCTCTCTCTCTCTCTCTCTCTCTCTCTCTCTCTCTCTCTCTCTCTCTCTCTCTCTCTCTCTCTCTCTCTCTCTCTCTCNTCTCTCTCTCTCTCTCTCTCTCTCTCTCTCTCTCTCTCTCTCTCTCTCTCTCTCTCTCTCTCTCTCTTCTACCTCTACTTGGACCAACCCTGAATACACCTGCTCGGTTCATCCTTGACCTCGGCGGCTATGGCGGCCTTCTCTCTCCCTCATCTACCCTGACTGTGGCTTCCCACGTGCCGTCCCCCCTGCTTTGGGGCACATCACCCTGGTCGCACAATCGCGCAAGCAACCAGCAGCGCTTCCGCAACTTGCGAATGAACAACTGACTTTCGCTTGGCACTGTAGCAACTATAAATAGAATGTCTGACTTGATGTTTGCCTTCTTGGACCAGTACCGATCGCCCGCGGTCTTGTCTGCTGCATGTGTTTTGAGTTGTTCCTGAAGTCTCCTGACTTTCTTGGGAGGCTGCTGCAAAACTGAATTTTGGGATTGGACTGGACCGGCAGACTTTTACCAATCTGCGACGTTTCAGTCCCGGACCTTATCGGACTACGATGCTTCGACCCTTATGAGACCCTAAGGATCTTGGGATTTGACCTACGGGGGGTCAGTGGGACTGGGACCAACTAGGACCTTGGGACCAAGATGAGGTGTCGAGTGCATCAGCTCCCACCTTTTTCACGAATGGGGAAGCCCTCCCGACCATGTCACGTAGGAGTAAAAGAAAAGCCAACAGAGACAACTTGGGCACAACGCAAAATAATCCCTCGGACCGCCGAGGCGGACGTGATTGTGTTGTTCTCTCGCCGCTCTAGCCGGGTGCGCCAGCCGTGCTTCCCGCGATCCCCTACGACAGGATAGGTTCCCGCGAGGCACAACTTACCTTCCCTAAGGGGTTGTCACCACCCTCAGGGGCGTATCACTACTGAGCTACTGACCCGCATACGAAAGCTTTTAAATGCAATCGCAGAGGTAGATCAGCCAGGGCGTTTGCTTGTTTTACTGTAGCATAGAAGGTCAATTGGCCATACGTCCTCTGAAGGGTCAATAGTCGTGGCTAGAACAGTGCTCGAAGAGTCAAGTTGACCTCTCGCAGGTTGAAAGGGCAGTTCGTCGATCTCTAGCAGAAGGCCATATCTCTGAGCTTTTGTGTGGGCGCACTGCGCCATCTGAAGTTTGTTGCTGATTCTGCATCTGTGGAAGTTTTTGTTACCATCACCAGCTACATGTATGCATGTGGAACGTGAGTTGAAGACAAGTCTGATTGCAGTTGTATCGGAGCTGGTTAATGTTGTATGCGCAAGCATCGCAGAGGTCGAAGAGGAGGAAGGAGCCGACTGACGCGAAGAAGGAGATGATGATGATGATGAGAGAGAGAGACGCGTGTGAGGGAAGTAGACCGCTATAGCAGACGACAGCCATAGTTGCCAGCTTGGAGAAGAAGAACGACGAGAGAGGTAACGAAGAAGAAGGTGATAGCAGCCATAGCCAACGAAGAAGAAGAAGAAGAAGTCGGCCATAGCCGAGCTCAAGGACGAAGAAGAAGAGGGTGAAGTGAACTAAGGAGACGAAGAGAGAGAAAGTCGCCATAGCTGGATGGTCAAAGAGTTGACCAGCGAGAGTTGACAAGCGAATGTTGGATGGCGAGCGTTGATCGGCACAGTTGACTAAGTTGACCGTTGACCAAGCTTGGAGTGTGGAGCGAGGAGCAGTTCAATCTCTTCAAGCCTAACCCTTGTCCTTTTATGCTTTGTGGGTATTGCACACTCATCTTGGTACTTGCTGCAGTCAAGTCCGTCTTGCAAAGTCTATCACCTCTTTCTGCATTGAGTCACTCCTGTCCAGGTTGTTGTAGGTTCCATGCATGTGGTCTGATAGAGGCTGAGGGGCCGACGCCTGCACGGGACTTAGTAGGGGTGAGGTGTATCTGACGCCAGAGGACCTGGGGAAAAGTCCCCAAGGACAGGTACAGACCGGCATGCTGCTCTGGGTGGTACACCACCTGAACTGCGAGTTGCAGATCGCGCGTCCAGTCTTTCTAAATCTTGAGAGAACTCTGGTTGTGATCGTCGTCCTGACTGCGACGTTAAATAATTCCTGAGGGGGGATCTCCTTAAATGCCTCCTGATCAGCGAGTAGTTATGTAGTGGCAAACTAGTAACAGTATAGTCGCGAGTGGTTGACAGAGGGACAATTGGAAGCCAAAGCTAGGCGGGATTGAACTGTGGGTGCACATGCATCCCACGGTTGTGGAAGGATTGGACTGTGGTTGCGAAAGCATCCGCCGACAGTGGTAGCTTGGCTAAGGTGGAAGAGAGAACCTCTGTAGTCCTCTAAGCGGTCAGTGTCTAGGTGGGTTGGTCTAAGTGTTGAGGAGCGGAATCGTTTGTGATTGTGCCCTCGTCCAACATAGACAACTACCCTATGTTCACCTTCATAATTGGCCTCTCCCTTTGGGGGGCCTTGCTTCGTTTCCTCTTTCCGTTGGGATTCTGGCGGACCGTCTGTTGCACTGTGACTACTAAGTCCGGAATCTAGACCCTGCCATATAGTAAAGAATAGGAGGAGAAGGCTGCCGCAATTCTTCGAGAGCAGAAGGAGAGAAAGGAGAAGAAAGCCTTGGTGAGACAGGCCAAGAAACTGGCCTTGCTAGAAGTAGAAGCGGCCAAAAAGAAAAAGATGGAGGAGGAGATGGAGGTGTGAAAGAAGGAACAGGAGGCAAAGTTGGCCAAAAAATTGGCCGAAGAAGAAGAAGAGGAAGAAGAAAGCGAAGAAGAGGGGCCCCCGTTACAGCGAAGGAGAGAGAAGGAAGCAGTGAAGGGCCCAAAAGAAAGGAAGGAGGAGAGGAGAATCGAGTACATGTCTACCCCCACCGGAAGAGGTGGAGAAGGCTGTGAAGGAATGGGTGGCAGGACGATCCCTCGGGGAAGATAGGGAAGCAGAGTTGGCTGTCCCCAGGCAGAAAGAGAAATAGTAAGAAGAGGGTTGGAGAGAGAAAAGAGTCCCCTGCGTCGTCAGGCAAAAGAGCAGGAGAACCAGTTGGAGTGGAAGTTGCGCCTCGAGAAGGAGAAGACGAGGCGATTGGAAATAGCAGATAAGATGGAGGAGGAATTAAAGGCGGCAGAGGAGCGACTGGGTAAGATGACAGAAGAGACAGAGATAGGGAAAAGGATTGACACCCCCTCCCATAGTATGACCTCTGTTATGCCAGCTCAGAAGGAACAGATAGGGCACCTTTGTGAGCATGATATAACACTTGAATCCATATGAGCCGGGTTCCATGACTTTGCCCAGGAGATGATGATTCATCTCGTAAACGAAATGCAGACCGCAATCGATAAAACAAAGAAGTTTTGCACCGGTGTGATAGAGGGTGTCAAGTTGGCAGTCCCCAAGGAGGAAGAATCACAACCCACCGCAAGAGAGTCAAAGTTCGCTTCCCTGAGTCATATAGTGGGAGAAGGGATGAGGACTTTGATTATTGGGACACTAGTATTAAGTTGTATTTGTATTTAGTATTTACAGAACGTGCCTTCTGACGACCATGTCCTGATCGCCTTTCAGGCCTTGAGTGGCGAAGCAACTAATTTCGCCAGGTCTCTCGCATAAGCCGCCCGCTGCGAAAATGACATGGTCACTTATTCTGCCATTACTAACCTCCACGATTTCTTTGCTGCACTGCGAGAGCGTTTTGTGGACATCACTAGAGGATTGAAGACGTTCGACAAACTCTAAATGATCCATACGCAACCTTGGAAGATTGTGCATGCACTGAAAGCCGCTATGGACAAACTGATAGCTATGCCTGGTCATGGAGTTAACAGAAGCGCAACTAGTCCAGCTCTTCTATCGTGCGTTGCCCGAGCAATTGCAAGGGCTCTTCTTTAACAAAAGGCAGCAGCTTGGGATGACCTATGATCTCCTCAGTAGGGAAGTTGTTGCCTTCGCCGCCCAGTCCATGCTAGTTACCACTTTCTGGCATAAGGACTTAGCTAAAGGAAAAAAGTGGAAAGGTCGCACCATCTCTGGCCAAGTTAAGGCCAAAGACAGTCTCATACTAACAATGGAAGAAGTGTCGAAGAAATCCCCTATACTGACATAGAATG